GAGAAAACGGAAAGTTGAACTTTGATCAACCGTTCATTAATTGTGCCGTGTGTCACGTATTTGATTTCGATGAACGTTGAATTAGTTGAGTTTGAAGTTAATTATATGTACAATAAGGTTGATAGACTGAAATAGTGATGTGACGTCAGACTTGAGTTAAGATAAAGTGAACTATCACTGGAGGATCGCACATTTGGAGAAAGGCAGCGACTGCGGATCTGCGGTCTGACTTCAACGGTTAAATCAGGTTTCACATTGTACATACTACTACACACTACTTACATGCACCTCACTTATCACCTGACTGGTACCGTGTGGTCAACCCTACCTACGGAGATCGGTAAGTTGTGCTTGCTTATTTGTCAGCCGTTTTAGAATATTTATCCATAGGCCATTGGGCCCCGTCCTCTGTTGCTCGTCGAGGAGGCTACTATGGGCCCTAGCCCAATCGACCTTTGTCAGGGGAACTCAGAGCGTGTACAGGGAGTGCCTTGAAACTGCAAGAAAGCTGGTGATCCAAATTCAAAATTTCTCGGGAAGCCCATAAGAAGGGAGATTCGAAAGTAGTGTTTTGTGCCAAACCCGATCGAAGGTCTTTGCAATGTCCAAGCTAACGGCCAATGCCTCCATTTGGACTCTACTGCCTCCGCCCATCTATGAGTCAGGTAGACCAGAAGACAACCAGATCGACCTCGGCGAAAACCGTATTGGTGGTCACTAATCAGCTGGTGATTCCATTATTTTGAGAACAAAGAGGTGGTGGCGATAGGCCTGTAGTTAGATGGCTCTGAGCGATCGCCTTTTTTATCCAGCCTGCAGAACGCAACCGCGATGTTAGTGTGAGTGCCACTACACTCCGAACTAGGCAATGGTCCGAGGAGCCAAGAGGGGAATGGACGAAGACCTGATATCTATCTGAGTGAGAGGCCTGCAGAAGGTCCAATAGGGCAGGTGCGTGATCGTCCACATCTGGAATCCACGTAGGCGAAGTATACAGTTGTGTCAGACCATATGCCTAGGCCAAATCATGAACAGATCTTCCTGCATGATCGGTTAAACGTGAACAGAGCCATTCGGCGTGGTGGGTGTTACGATCGCCGAGGATCATGATCTGCTGTAGTAAGGATACTGTAGCCATTTGGGCGTAGTCGATGAGTCGGTCTGTGTCGGCATTACCGCTATTTTTTTATTTTTTTTTTATAGGATAAGGGTGACAAACGAGCACACAGTCCACCTGATGGTAAGTGGTCGCTGTGGCCCATAGACATCTACATCTATCTTCGATTAAGAGTCAAAATGCAGATGCGTTGTCACCCGTGAGGACTAAGATGGAATGCCTCGTTTCCAGTAAAAAGGGTCTCCGGTTCTCTACACTCACCATACGAAACACAGCAGCGTTAAGCTGCTATTTTACGCTGGTATTCTGTGAGAGCGTGGTCCTTCCCCGGTCGAGCCGACCCATTCGTGCTACAACCATAATATAGATGCAGCATGGCTCTACCACGTATAAAATGTATATGGGACCTATAGAGGCACCCGTAGACAGGAGTGGAGTAGCTTGGTCGTAGATGCTCAGCAAGGAATTCTCCATAAACAGGGGTGCAGGGGGGTCATGTGGTGTGGAGCCGCGGGAGACGCCCCGGGCGTCGGGGGCTACGTCGTGGCCCCCGGCCACCGTAGGCGCGGGCCTGTGGACGGCGAGCAATGGGTAGCTCGCCGTCCGTCCGTCTAACGACGACAGGCCGTGTCGACGGCGCGTTTTGTTCCACGCGCGCCTCAAAGAGCTGTCAGCAGCGTGAAGGGGCCCGCAAGGGCCGACGCCTGCCGGGGCTGCGGGCTGTTCGAAAGAGATACCGCGGCTCCGGAACGTAAGGGCACTGAAGGAACACGGATGGTTTTTAGTCAGTAAAAGTCTGACACTCCCTTCCGCTCCACCCAGAGCGAAAGGCGTCATTTGATGATTTTCCATCCGAAAAAAAAAGGGGGTCATGTGATAGTATTATATTTAATTCCGCTACCATTTAGATGGGGAGGGGGATTAGGCCTCCGGCCACCTGCACTCCCCGGACGAAATGCTGAAGCAGAGCTTCCACTTCACCCCGGTATTCTGTGAGGTCGTGGAACCACGCCGGCCCATACGTGAAACAGCAAAAGTTGCCGCGTGGCGTGACAACTGTTAAACGTGTATGTTTTGTGGAAAGATTTTTCATTGGCGTCACATAAATATTTTTTATTTTCGTTTTATAAACATCAATAGTAGTCGAAGTTGCTGTCATTGTTAACACCACATAACAATACAGTTTCACTCGGTGAAATATTCGACTCGACGAGCGTGGCGAGGCGACTAGGCGAACTAATGCGGCATAGCCGCGTGTGCGAGCGGGAAAGGAAGTTCCCGGCGCGGCGCTCATATCTATTTCCAGGGTATATTATCAGTCATGTCATCTTTTTAGTAGTATATTAAACCGTACTAGACAATTCTTGCTTAATAAATAATTTAAACCTTTTGATAGATAAGGTCTGCATATTTTCTGGGACTGTTGTAAAAGCGTAAACATTGCCCTATAAAAGAATTACTGACTCTTTGGAATCGAGTAACTGGTATAACTAACTTGTGCTTGTTCCTAGTATTTACAGAACGTACATCACTATTTTTAATAAAATTATTTTTGTTTTTGTGTACATACATTAAATTCTCGTAGATATTGTTACGAGCTTGGGGTTCGAAATAATTAAAACTGCCGAGTGAATTACCAAAATTGACACTCTAATTACAGACCACTAATTACAACTTATAACCACACTAATAACAAAACAATTTAACTACAGATAATTTTAGTTCGCAGTTGTATCGCTTGTATAGCAAATTCAATACTGAACCGATCGCTTTATTTGCGCCTATAGCAAGGCTACCCTCCGGAAGCGGGGGAGGGAGGGGTGTTTTTGTGGGACTCACTATGAAGTGTCTACGCACTAAACACCACCTGTGGGACTGGCGTTGGCCATTATGGCTTTTCTTCCGAATCGGAAGCGACGCCCTTTAGAGAATAGTGGGCTCAGGCGGCGAGTAGCCGCTGAGAGGTGCGCCTAAGGCAAATTAAAAACAAGGAGAAGATTCGGTCTGAGCCGCCAGGAGGCAGTTCAGGTTGGCCGAAAGCTTGTATGGGGGTCCGAGAGACAGTTTCTCGGCCTGCGGACTCGATAGCGAGAGGGAAGTGGAGCTGAATTGGAAGCTGTCTCACGAATGAGATGATTAGAGTGAGACTCTGAGGCTTTGAAGAAGTTCTCAGAAAGTATTTTCAGAAATTGTTGGATTGTGTGGAGCTGTAAGTCTCGATGGAGGTCGGCGTTACGGACGTACAAGGGTGCGTTCGTAGTCCGACGACAGAAATAGTTTTGAACTAATTGAAGTTCATTCAGGATTTGGGTTTAGCGTGAGCAAAAATGGGGGCCGCGTAAGTTCTTATATATAGTTCGCTTGTTACGGAGTGACATTTTACTGTGTCGGCCCAGCATACTGTTGAGCCTACCCAGATAAAAGCGTGCGTTGCGAGTTAACAACTCTCTTAACATGGGGCTTGAAAGTGAGCCTCGTGTCAAGGGTGACACCTAAGTATTTGACGGTCGTATGCCAGGGTACAGGGGTCCCTAGCATACGGATTATCGGAATGGTACTGGGGCGGCGTCTTTTATACTCGAAATAAACGGCGGAGCTCTTCTCCGGGTTCACATCGATACGCCTTTTTTGGATCCAAGCTCCTAAGTCACTAACTGACTTTTACTCACTAACGTATAAAAGATAGTGATATACCTTTACAATAGAAGACAGTGTCGTCTGCAAAGAGAGAGAGTTGAACACCATTCGACGAGATGAGAATGTCGTTGGTCTACAATATATATAGAAGAGGGGCAAGCACTGAGCCCTGAGGGACACCGGCTTTGATATGACGCTGAGAGGAGAGCGTGCCTTCGTGTCTGAAACGAAAGGTACTATCCTTCAAGTAGGAGGCCATGAGACAAATAAGACGATTAGGAAGGCCTATTTGACATCCAAATTTAATAAAGTATTTGGATTGCTTGTAGCTTTTTGCTAACACATCTGTTGTAATATTGCAGAATTTATAAATTACTTATTATTATTTAAAATGAGGAAATTTAATTTGGTGCAACACGTAATATAATTTTTGTTTAAGTTTGTGGTTATTAAAAATTAAACAATAATAAAGTATGAATACATTTTCTGTTGAACTGCACTTGGGGTGGAAAGACGGACAAACAATTAAAATGTGAATTCCGACTATCCATCCCGTATATGGTGGATAAACGAACACGCGTTTCAGAGTATCCACCCTAGGGTGGATTTCTTAGAGTTTATAAATGGAATAACCCAAATGTGCAAATTCGCTCAGTCTGTCAACACAGTTATTCCTTCTCTTTCTTTTGAGAAAGAGACGGTCTGTAAAAATTTGTTCTGAATCCGTTGTTATTGCATTTGAATAAAGTCTGATTTTATGTTATATTAAAATGCGTTTGTAACATTTATTTATTGAAATTATGACCAATGAGCAAATTGGGTTTTTAGTAGTGATAATACGACGTAGTTGATTGTATGTGTGCACTCGGCGACATCGGTTCTCGTACAAAATAAGGTTGACAGCATTCTATTGTGTATTATAGTATTCTTTGAGATTACTAAGCTCATAGTTGTTGATGAGCACCTATGTTTAACTGGGACGAATAGTCCGATTAAGTAAGTCCAACAGCGACCGAGAGGTCAATCGACGGATTCAACTCGGCTGGGCAGTGTTATAGAGATTACGACACCTTCTAGTCAGGTATACCTCAAAATTTGAAAACAAACGTGTACAACCAGTACGTGTTGCCAGTAATGACATATGGATCTGAGACGTGATCATTCTCTACTGGCCGTATGAGAAAGCTCTAGGTAGCTCATCGAGCCATAAACAATTTTAATAACAAACACTTATAATTAAAATAATTTAATCATTGACAACACCAGTTGAAAGGTATCGAACTTCAGGATCACAGCCATGACCTCGGAACCGCGCTAACTTAATACGACCTCGTGCGCTTCCGAACTTCACTATCAACCACGCCAAACCAGCACAGCATCCAACTGTTATTAATATTATTATTCCTATTTGCAGAACGCTCGGACCACCTGTAAAATAAATCACATAATTTACTTTTTATTATTTCCGTATAGAATCTACCAACAATGACACAAGTTAGAAAAATCGGGGTATGGCTGCGTATTAGACACAGCCGTTTACTATACGTGAATACGTAGTGAAACAATTGAATAAATAAGAGTACCCTAATTCAAAAGTAATATATTAAGAAGATAATGAAAGTCGAAATTATACGTCAATTTATTGCACTCACTTTTTGCTTCCTTTGTAGATACTATTTTAGTTCCCTCCTTCTTTTGCTTGGCTTCATGTTCCATTTTTGCTTTTTTATCCGGATAAACATCATTGTCTTCTATTAGTCTGGAATTATCTTTAGAGATTTTTGTCGATGTGCCGGACCGTAGGCAATAATTGTGTAGTTTTAATAGTCAGTTTTGGAGTTATTGTAGTTTTAACTGCGGTAAACTTGTGTGTATTTTCAGTTATTTTGTAAACGGGTGTAGTCGTCTTAAAAACTAGTGTAAGATTCTTAAAGGTTGTTGGTTTTGTTGAAGTTTTCGTGGGTTTAGATGTAGTTGTGCTAGTTGTAGAGGTAGTTGTCCCTTTAACAGTTGTTGAGACAGTTGTTGATGTTGTTGACGATGTTATTGGCGTAGTTTTTGTTGATACTATAGGTGTACTTAAACTTGTAATTGAGGTAGTTTCTGGCGTCTTTTGCGTTTGAGATGCTATCCCCACGGAGGTGTTTGATGCGTTATCATCGGAATCTGTAGTTAAAAAAAGTTAAAGTTACAGCCTATGCACATCCCACAGCTGGGCCAATGCTTCCTTTTCAGAGAGTATTTTAGGACAAGAAAATATCAGCTGCGCTGCCACAATGCATGTCAGCGGACTTCACATGTCTTAGAAATATATTTTTTTACGAGCACGCCTTCGTACATATTGATAGCGCTGCAATTTGCTTTGTATATAACAACATCTGTGACCTTACGAAAGATTCCAATAAACGCTCTCGTACATTCGATGCAAGGGTTGAAATTTGTCCCTAACAAATAAATTAAAATAAAATAAATAAGTTTATACAAGTATTATACCTACGATACGTATAATGCTTTTTTCAAACTTTTTGGCTGCCTCGTTGGTCTAGTGATTGTAAACGCTGGTAATGAGGTCCTGGATTTGAATCCCGGGTTTGGCCAAAATTAGTTATTGGGTTTTCCTATCAAGAAATTCTCAGTAGCAACGCGGAGTCAGGAAGTTTGTGGTGTTTCACTCACTGCCTCGAAAAGCACGTAAAGCGGTCCTATCGGACAATATAGTGGGGGAGTAGAGAGTGTACTTGTGCTTGCGCTCACACTCGGGCACTATAATTCTGTCCTACGCAGATGGCTAGTCTCTATTGAGACTGGTCGCTGTGACCGAAACTCGTTCTGGAGTACATTAAACATTTTTTTTATAGGATAAGGGTGACAAACGAGCACACAGTCCACCTAATGGTAAGTGATTGCTGTGGCCCATAGACATCTACATCTATCTTCGATTAAGAATCAAAATGCAGATGCGTTGTCACCCGTGAGGACTAAGATGGAATGCCTCGTTTCTAGTGAAAGGGTCCCCGGTTCTCTACACTAACCATATGAAACACAGCAGCGTTAAGCTGCTATTTTACGCTGGTATTATGTGAGAGCGTGGTCCTTCCCCGGTCGAGCCGACCCATTCGTGCTACAACCATAATATAGCTGCAGCATCGCTCTACCACGTATTAACATACCTTCAAACAATTATAATTTATATGAATATGCAACTGTAGTAAAAACCTACCAAAATAAGGAAAATACGAAAGGTTAATGAACAAATGGAATGCAAGGATGAAATCGATGGCGTCAGACGGCCTGTAAGCGCGGATGCATTTTGTAAAACGGAAGTTTTAAAGTAATTAAACATGGAGTATTTGTTAAGGATATTTTATTCACCGTTTTTATCTTTAAACACTCACCAGTGGAAAACATGCACAGATCAAAGAAGTCAGGGCAGCAGTTCCCATCATTCACACAAGATCCAGTGCAACCGCAACCCAATTCGTTGTTAGGCTTTCCAATCCTGCCGCAACGGTCCGCACAGGAATCCGCTAAAATGTGGGAAAGTTTTTTTATAATATATTGGTTGACTTTTTTTTGTAACATTGTCATTTTTGTAATAGGTGAACGGAAATAGGAGTACAAGCGCATGAATATAAAACCGAGTAGTATTTATTCTTTTTTCGTTAAAATTTTATGTAATCTATCAATATATAATCCTAAAATAAAATAAATCATCAGAGCGTTGGCCGCTCCCCGGGCTGAATACCTTGCTCGGCGGTAGATCTCCCCTTTTCCTTTAACGGCCACATTACAAAGCACTGTCCTGTGAACACTGCATCCATTGACTTCCTGCATGTCTTATTTAAAGTTTATTTTTAATAATTATTTCACTTATTTTATACAAATGGTGATAAATAGAACTGAACAAAAGCTTCATACCTGATCCTCCTTTACCAAAGGTATGGTCAAAAGACGGTCCAGTAAAGAGAAAAGAAGAGGGAGTCTTCTTGTTCAGACGTATCCAGTCGAAATCGTAGAAATCGTCTTGGGTCCATCCGCATAGGTTTGGTTCTTCGAAGTCACATTTAAGTGGATCGGATTCTGTTGAATCTGACAAGTAAAGAATATTATTGAAATAAGGCTATTTTTGCGCGTTAATGATATTTTACGCGTTAATTATATTTTCTATGTACTTGTCTAGGGTTTTACGCGGAAGAACCATGCTGCAGCTATATTATCGTTGTAGCAGAAAAGAGTTGGTTCGACAGAGAAAGGACCACGCTCTCGCAGAATACCAGCGTGAAATAGCAGCTTGATTGTGTGTCCTGAGGCACCTGCATCCATCGACTTCCTGCGTGTCTTAATAAATCGTCACTCCATCTAGTGGGGGTCGCCTTACACTTCACCTACCGGTACGAGGCTGCCACTCGAGAACCTTTCTTCCCTATCGGTTGTCGGTTCTTCGAGATATATGGCCGGGTCATTACCACTTCAGCTTACTAATCCGTTGGGCTATATGGGCCACTCTCATTCTACTGCGGATATCCTCATTTCTAAGTTTATCACGCAGAGAACAGCGAGCATAGCTCTGTGCAGAACTCGCTCAGCGTCCTTAAGTTTCCTCATACGGCCAGAAGTATAGAGTCAGGAATCAGATCCATAGGTTATCACTGACAACATCCACTGGTTGTACAATCTCGTTTTCAAGTTTCGAGGTATACGTGACGAGAAGATGTGTCGTAATTTCTCGAACGCAGCCCAGCCGAGTTGAATCCCGATTGACCTCTCGGTCGAAGTTGGACTTACCTAGTCGGACTACTTGTCCCAGGTAAACGTACTCATCAAACACTTCAAGCTTAGTGCTCCCAACATCTACCGGCGTAGGTATGACATGGACCTTATACATGATTTTTGTTTTATCCACGTTCATCTTAAGACCTATCCGTCGGGCCAAAAGAGCGTTTTCGCCTTCGGTGTACTGCCTCTCCATGGAGGAAGGAATTAAATAGCTTCTGAAGGACTTCAAGTACAGGGTTTCCACCCGCTTCCAGAAGCTCCGCTGTAATTCCATCCTCGCCCGGGGACTTGCCGTTTTTAAGGTGCTGGAGAGCCATTCTAATCTCGCTCAAACTGACGTCCGGAATATCATCGGAATGGTGTCGGTAATCGGTAAGACTTGCTCTTGGATCGTTACTCATACTTGCGTGTGGTTCCAACGATGATTTGTACAGCTGCCCATAGAACCACTCAATCTCACTTAAAATCTCAGATGTCCCGGAAACGATGCTGCCACACTCGAATCTTCAGCTTCGACAATTGGCTTTTTCTGGCTGATAGATCTCTAGCAAAGACTTTGGAGCCTTGGTTCCGCTCGATCGCTTCTTCAATACAAGCTGTATTGAAGTTGCGTAAGTCCCGCCGCATGTATTTGGAGATCTGTCAGTTCAGTTGCCTGTATGCTGTCAAATCTGTTGAAGAATGTAGCTTCATCTCCCGTCTGACAGCCATGAGATTGAGGACGTCATAGGAGAGTTTTTGTGTTCTTCTGCGGTGAGTCTTGCAAAACTTGCTGTAACAGCATGGACAATTTTCACGAGCTTATCATTCATATCGTCCACTGCATTGCAATATTCTAGGCACTGAAAACAATTTTGTAACTCGAGCTGAACGTGTTCGGGACTTTGGATTAGAGCACGAGGGGGACGGAGCGTTGACTTCATTAGTCGTGACCTTTCCAACTTAAAGTTTAGGTTCAGTGTGCCTCTCACCATTCAGTGATCACTGCAGGTTTTCACCCTTGTGATCTCTGAGACATCACTGAACAGTTGCCGTCTCGTCATAATGAAGTCAATCTCACTTTTTGTCGAATCGTCGGGGCTCTACCAGGTCTACTTCCTTTGGGGCCGCCTCTGGTAGAAAGAGTTCATCATAAAGAGTCCCTCTTTATCCATGAAGTCGGCCAGCTGCTAGCCCCTTGGATTCCGTTGCCCTATTCCAAATTTTCCTCCCTTCAGCTCTTGTGCCTAGTTTTGCGTTGAAGAATCCCATTTACACCGTATAGTAGATTTTGGAGAAATGCAACGCTTTAGATATATCCTCATACATTTCCTCCACTTCCTCATCAGGATGTGCTGAGGTTGGTGCGTAAACCTGTATGACCTTCAGCGAATACCGGTGATTCAGAGTATAAGCTACGCAACCCTCGTCGACACACTTTCAATCTTAATTGTGGACGATAAATCCGACACTTCCTTGGGACAGATGGTCGCTCTTCCGGTGATAGAACAAGTTGACGAATTCAAAGATTACCGTATCCTCCCCCTGTCTTCAGACCTCGGATATTTTTAAAATATTTAGGCGCAACTTGTCTCTTCTTCCAGCTATAGGATCTTCTCGACAGTTCGGGTGCGTGTGTTATATGGCGTCAGGTGGAGGCGTCTTAGATAGCAACCGAACCTCCACCGGAGGTTGTTAGCACCCCTTGCTCTGCCGTTACCATGGTCGCGAACGAAGCCAGGAAAAGCGGGGCCGCCGGTAACTAGGGGCTGTCTCTTCGTAACTTTAATCATGGGGGGTATATTGCCTTAGCTGTCACTTGGCGACCGGGTTGGCAACCGCAGTTTTTTTATTGTTGTTTTGCTGTTATCAGAAAGATGCTGCTGCCCATTTTCTGCCTCAGTTTCCCTTTGTCGCCTCTTACGACACCCAGGGGAAGACATGGGGTATTGGAAAAGTCT